CTTATTTGTCATCAGGCAACTCACACAGGAGAAAAGCCATTTAAATGCTTGCAATGTGAAAAGAGCTTCAGTCAAAAGAGCAACCTTACTCGTCATCAGGCAACTCATGCAGAAGAGAAGCCATTTAAATGCCTGCAGTGTGAAAAAAGCTTCAGTCACAAGCACATCCTTATTAGTCATCAGGCAACTCACTCAGGAGAAAAGCCATTTAAATGCTTGCAGTGTGAAAAGAGCTTCAGTCAAAAGAAAAACCTTATTAGTCATCAGGCAATTCACGCAGGAGAGAAGCCATTTAAATGCTTGCAGTGTGAAAAAAGCTTCAGTCACAAGAGCAGCCTTATTCTTCATCAGGCAACTCACACGGGAGAGAGACCATTTAAATGCTTGCAGTGTGAAAAGAGCTTCAGTCAAAAGAGCAACCTTATTAGTCATCAGACAACTCACACAGGAGAGAAGCTCTTTAAATGCTTGCAGTGTGAAAAGAGCTTCACTCATAAGAAAAGCCTCATTAATCATCAGACAACTCACACAGGAGAGAAGCCATTTAAATGCTTGCAGTGTGAAAAGAGCTTCAGTCAGAAGGGAAACTTTATTAGTCATCAGGCAACTCACACAGGAGTAAAGCCATTTAAATGCTTGCAGTGCGAAAAGAGCTTCAGTCAAAAGAAAAACCTTATTAGTCATCAGACAACTCACACAGGAGAGAAGCCATTTAAATGCTTGCAGTGTGAAAAGAGCTTCAGTCACAAATGCAACCTTATTGGTCACCAGGCAACTCACACAGGAGAAAAGCCATTTAAATGCTTGCAATGTGAAAAGAGCTTCAGTCAAAAGAAAAACCTTATTAATCATCAGGCAACTCACACAGGAGAGAAGCCATTTAAATGCTTGCAGTGTGAAAAGAGCTTCCATCAGAAGGGAAACCTTATAAGTCACATGGCAGCTCACACAGGAGAGAAGCCATTCAAATGCTTGGAGTGTGGAAAGAGCTTCAGTCAAAAGCATGTCCTTATTCGTCATCAGACAACACACACAGGAGATAAGCGGTTTAAATGTTTGCAGTGTGGAATGAGCTTCAGTCAAAAGAGCAACCTTATTAGTCACCAAGCAGCTCACACAGGAGAAAAGCCATTTAAATGCCCAGAGTGAAAGAGCTTCAGTCGGAAATCATACTTGTTCATCATCAGGCAACTCACAGCGGAGAAAAACCAGAGTGTGAAAAGAGCTGCGGTTTAAATACGAGTCTTTTTTCATTGTCAACCCACGCGGAATAAATTGGGTAAAGGCAAATTATCTTGTTTTATATCGGAGATGGAATTATTCTTTGTCATAGAAACACTGAGTTAAAAAGCCGAGTTAAAAAATACATTTCATTGAGAAGTTTGATGAGAAGTGTGGGAATGGGTTCAATTAATGACTAACATCCCTGAGTATCATGTAATTCTATGTATGTGGTAGGGGGTTTTCTTTTATGAAATATCTAATAAAGCATAACAGAGAAATTGTTTTCTATCAGTCCATGTGTAATGGTTACTGTGAATAGAATCATAGAATCAAAGAGTTGGAAGAGACCTCATGGGCCATCCAGTCCAACCCCATTTTGCCAAGAAGCAGGAATATTGCATTCAAAGCACTCCTGACAGATGGCCATGCCTCTGTTTAGAAATATCCAAAGAAGGACCTTCCACCACACTCCGAAGCAGAGAGTTCCACTGCTGAACAGCTCTTCTTACGGTCAGGAAGTTCTCTCTAATGTTCAATGGAATCTCCTTCCCTGTCATTTGAAGCCATGGCTTCACTAAGTCCTAGTTTCTAGGGCAGCAGAACACAAGCTTGCACCCTCCTCCCTGTGACTTCCTCTCACATATTTCTTGTCGTATCTATAACATATAATTAGATTTATTACAGTGGTGTGTGTATTCAATCTCAAAATATACATGGCGTTAAAATATGTAGGGGAGAATTAGTTTATCCTGAAGAAAAGGCATGTTTAGAATTCTGAGTTTATTCTGTATGTTTGGATAT